CAGAGATTTTAATCTTGAAAAAAAAAAAAAAAAAAAGATCATTTTCTTTATTGAAAAACCCGATCAGAAAATAAGCCGTTTTTTTTTGTTTTTTTCAAATTTAGTCCAAAGGTTTACCCCACTTTAGTATCAAATTACATCATTTATTTATTTTCCTGCCGAGTTCTTTTCAATTTCATACAAATTAACCAATACATCTCAAAAATTTCCATCAAGTCAAAAATCGCAAACCATGTTTAAAATTAATTAATCACAGCACATACAGCACTAATTAATTTTGAGGCAAATTATTATTTTCATACTGGCAGCAAATCACCTGCATGCGGGTAGAGTTCAGCAGATATACAAAAATAGAAAGAAGTGTAAGACAAGGATGTGTCGTCTCCCCGGACTTATTCAACCTATACAGTGAGGCAATTCTGAGAGAATTAGATAACCTACCACAATATTAACAACATAAGATATGCAGATGAGAATATTGATAGAAGTCACGGAAAGAAAACTACAACAGCTCCAACAGAAAGAAAATTGTTTTATTTTGTTTTGTGGCATATTAACCTCAATGGGTTATTTAATGCTGACGAGATTTTTATTTCTGGTAATATTTTCTTTTTTTCAAATATTTATTGCTGATACTAATTTCTTTTTTTTTTTTTTTTTTTTTTTAAGTATTTCTAGTATTAATATCTATTTTTACACTTTCGTAGTGTTTTGAGTCAGGTTGTGGTGTCAACTATTTGCCCATAGCTGGGACCCTAACAGGTACTACGGTGGACCTGGGAACTCCAGCAATTAAGAGATGGTTCCACGCTGCTCAAAACCTGATCAGAGGCCTTGCTGTTGGGCGTAGTTTATCGTCTTACCCAGGACGCGGATGTAGTTTATTGTCATACCCAGGAGGGAGCAGAAAGAACTAAACACTAATTGCAAGAAGACAGACTGCATAGTGGTTAACAAAAGGGTGAGTCCAAAATGCAAATTAAAAATCTGAGATACCAAAATTAACCAAACAAACACAAAAACTTAAATATCTGTGAAGTTTTCTAACAGAAGACAGAAAGAAGACACACTGGGATAGCGAAAGATGCCTTCCAAAACCTAAGCAGAGTATTAAGAGACAGAAAAAAAACTTCGTTAGAAACAAAGAAAAGCTTACTGAACTGTTACATGATATCTGTCCTTCTGTATGGCAGTGAATGCTGGACAATCAAAGATGAGGAGACTTGAGGTAACATGTTGTTCTACAGAAGGATGCTGAGGATAACACGAACCGAACATGTGAGTAACGACGAGGTTTTAGAGAAAATAGAAACAAAAGGGAAACTTCTGCTTAACATCAGAAAGAGACAGTTGAAATTTCTGGGGCACATAATCTGAGACACATAGGGCAGATTGAAGACAAGAGGGACAAAGGCAAACACTGCATAACATACATAATAAGCTTGAGAAAATGGATGGCAGAACAGGGTTCAGGATAAATAGCGAAAAGACAAAATATATTTAAGAGCCACAAAGAACTGGAGATTGTGGAGAGCCATGATCGCTAACGTCCTGAAGGAACATGGCACGAAGAAGAAGAAGAATGAGCTTGAGTAAATGGATGGCAGAACAGGGTTTAGGAGAAATAGCGAAAAGACAAAATATATTAAGAGCTACAAAGGATAGGAAATCGTGGAGAGACATGTTCGCCTACGTCCTGAAGGGAACACGGGACATATCGAAAATTTACAGTAAATTTGTTATAAATATTTTAAACGTCTCATATATTGATGGTCTTAGAGACACCGAATTCTAGACAAAGTGGTTTTTAGGAAAAGAACGAATCTTAGCTGTTCGAGATCGCAGAGAATGTTGTGTGCATTTGTCGAAAACTGTTTGACGAAAAAGAAAAAAAAAAAAATTAAGACTGTCGTGGACAGGATTTACCATTTGTAACGGTAAATGATTGAAACCTTACAAAATAAATGAATTCAACACGTGTAGATTTTTTTTATATTGATTGAATCCATTGCTACGTCAGCTGCTAAGAAAGTTTCTTCTCTGTCCTGCGAGACATTTTTTCTCTCTAGAATCTATCTTACATATAAGTCTAGAATTCGTCCATGCTTAGGATATTGCTGCCACATATGGTCCATTGCCCCTGCTATTTACCTTGAGCTCTTTGATAAAATCCAAAGAAGTATTAGCAATATTATTGGTCTTGATCTATCGTCGCAGCTTCAGTTACTTTCTCACCGCCGACAAGTTGTCTGTGTCGTTTCTATAAACACTTTCATGGTAATTGTTCGGGTGGACTCTTCGCTATGGCGCCTAGGCTTTATAGAATTTAAGCGCAGTACTAGATTGGTGGTGAGGTCTCATCAATTTACAATTGAGCTGGCTAGATGTAGCCGTAAGTTCTATGATAACAGTTTCTGTTCTCGCAGGTGGAACTCCCTTCCGGCTCCATGATTTCAGCCAACTTTAATCTGCAAAAATTTAAATGTAAAATCAATCGCTA